GTGTTGTGCGGGGGTTTACTCAGACCAAGTCAGTTTTCTTGGCTCATTAACAAACGACTATATGGTTAATTGTTTTGTTTTGAGGTGCAAACTATGATAAAATGGTAGCATCATCAGATTTTAGCTTGATAACGTCAAGATTCAGACACTGTGCAGGCACCAGCCAATCAAATCACCCGACTAATTGCTTCTCTGATCTCATGACAGATTGTTGCTTTAGTTCTTAATGTCAAGCCCACCTGTCGTCAGGCTTCTCCACAGCAGACCAGTAATCCTCAGATATTATCAGGAAGGTCGTCATGGTGATGTTGACCAACTTGTCACACATAGCAGTAAAAAAAAGCAGCTCTGTTCAGTGTGTGGTGTCTGAGGTGCAGCGGAGCACTAATTGAACCATGCTAACTCACATGAACAGCAGCTCACACACACATTCAGAGCGAACACCGCAGGTGTGCTCGCAAGAGAAAAATCCAGATGTGGACGGGTTGAGAAGTTAGAACCCTTGAAGTTGTGCCAATCCAGCCATGATTTGCTATTAACTACGTTCTCCTTGCTTGGTTAAAAAACAACCAGTCAACATACAGATGATATTTGAACAATATCTTTAAGAAACAGGTTTTGACAAAAACTGAACTGACTGGTCTCATGAGTCTTTTCAGGCCTTCAAATTAGGATTAAATTAATTTATCTCTACGACGTGTGCTGATGACCCCTTGGCCAGGAAGGAGATGGTGATTTCAACTGGTTTGTAACTTAAAAGGACAAAATTAAAAAACTGATCCAGGGCTGACAGTTGTTTTTTTTTTTTCTTCACATTTTTATTTTCAAACAAAAACATTGTCAAAGTCACAAATTTTCTTTTATTTATTTATTTGCATTTTAACACAACAGGAAATCTTATATATATATATATATATATATATATATATATATATATATATATATATATCAATGGCAGTAATTAAAAGAAAAAAATGTAATTAAAAGCATCAAAAGAAAAACATGAAACAAAAAAATACTAAATCAAATCACACTGTGTTAAAAGTCAGAGAATACAGGTGTGTTTTTAGAAAAGATTTAAAAACAGGAAGTGAAGTGTCCGGTCTAATGTTGGGGGCAGATTGTTCCAGAGTTTAGGACCCATGACTGAAAAAGTCCGATCTCCTCTGAGCTTCAACCAAAAGCAGCTGATCAGATGATCTCAGAGAGATATGAGGGTGCAAGGCCATTCATGCACTTAAAGGTCAACAGGATGATTTTAAAATCTATTCTGATACGTACAGGGAGCCAGTGAAGGGAGGACAAAACTGGTGTAATATGATCAAACCTACGAGTTCCTGTTAAGAGCCGAGCTGCAGCGTTTTGGACGAGATGGAGACGTGACTGACCCCAACATAAAGCGTGTTTGTAATAAAATCTCTGAAACTGCAGTTTTTAATCATTGTGCTTGAACTGAAACATGGTTTGGATCGACAGCTTTGACAGACTCTGATAACTGTGCATCAAACTGGATGTGTTTCCATTTTTGAAACAAGGTTGTGTGAATAATTTGGATAATTTGAGAGAAATATTTATTATTTGATAGTACAGCATGTGCAACAGAATAGCATTTACATTTAAAATTTAGAGTAAACCTGAGATTTTTTTGAAACATGAAACAGTTGCATGCGATACCCCTCTGAACACAGACAGACTGATTCGGTGCTGCACGAAGACTTTACAGTGCATTCCAGCAGAAGCAGCGGTCTACTTGATGCCCGCCAGCATGTGGATCCACCAGTTGGCCTGGACGGTCCAGCCGAGCTGCTCGCACTCGGAGATCTGTTGAAGGAAGTGCTCCTTGGCCTCAGCCTCGTTTTGCTCTTCCTGGAGCGCCTCCCGCAGGTATCGCATGTCTTCGGAATCACTCAGCTCCGGGATGCCCGTCAGCTGCATGAGGGAGAAAAGGGTGACCAGCAGGCGAGAGTGGGAGCGCAGCAGGAGGTACGCTTGGTTGCAAGTGTCCTGATGAAGACGAACAAGAAAAGACAGAACAAAGATTTACTGAAACAAATTAAATGCATGTACGCATCAACGGTTTGTTTATGTCGTGGAAACAAATGGAACAAAATGCTAAATAACTATGGTTTAACGATTGGCACAAACTAATTATATTTAACAAGTACTCCAAGGGGTTTATTGTACAACTTTAACAATTATCATCAAAACAAGAAACTAAAAGACTCAAGGAAATGTTGCTTATTTCAAAGATTCCTCTGCTATTTTCAGACGGCACTTTCTTTCTTTTCACAAAAATCCGTGCATGCTCAGGGTGAAGTGTTCTTCTTGGGTTTTAGGGGACAATGAATAACATGGAGCTGTGACATTCAGGGCTTTGTACGTGAAAGGAGAGTGCTTCAGTTGCCAGGTCAGTGAGACTGAAGTGATGCAGTAGCGTCAGCACTCAAGCTGCTTTATTGTCAATTACCTGAAAGACTTTCAAGGTTTTTGACGCTCAACTAAAATGCATCGCAGCGTAGCGGAAAGAAAGGCATAGGCCAGTTTTTCAGCCTTGACAAACAATGTTTGGTAGCAATGTATAAGAACCTGGTACTTGGTAACAGTTACGTACCTGGTACATTTTTAAAAGTGCAAGGTGACAAGTTATGTCATAATACCGCCTGGACCCCATAAATACTTGTTACATACCTGTACTCAATGGACCATAAATGTGCCCAATAAGTACCAGGTACATACCGGAGCTGCACTATTTACCTGGTAGGTACCAGGTGTGTTTTAAGCTGTATTATGTACTCAATACAAACCTGATCTGTATCAGGTTGTATTATTCATTCAGTCAACCTTTATTTATACAGGTTAGTTCCCATTGAGCCTCAAGGACTCATTTACAAGAGTGACCTGTTTCAGACAGACGAAAGTAAATAAGGAAAAGAGCAACATGATGGGGAGGGGAGGTAATATATATATATATATATATATATATATATATATATATATATATATA